TTTCTTTTGGTGGCATTTAATCACCACTGGGGTTTTTTTTTTTTTTGCACTATAAACAAAAATAGAGCCAAAAATTTGAAAAACAAAAAAGTTTTTCTTTGTTTCTATTATAAAATTTTGCAAACAGGTAAATTTTCTCCTTCACTGATGTGTGTTGATGAGGCTGCACTGATAGGCAGCACTGATGAGGCGGCACTGATAGGCAGCACTGATGGGCACTGATAGGCTGCACAGATGACGCCCTCCCAGAACTGGACAGCCGCACTCTAGCCGTCATTCAGCTATAGCGCGGTTGTAAAGTGGTTAAGTCACCCTAAGGCAGTGGTTCTTAACCTTGTTGGAGGTACTGACCCCCACCAGTTTCATATGCGCATTCACCGAACCCTTCTTAATTGGAAAAATAAAATATGATTTTTCAAATTCAAAACATAGGTATATATATATAGGTATATATTTATACATAGGTGCACAAAATGAACAAAACCATTAAGAACAAAGAACAAAACCATTAAAACATGATTTTCACACAAAAACAAAAACATAATAATGAATCTTTACTGCACAAATCATATGAGTCGGGTGTGGGTCTTCACCTCCGCCGAACCTGCGAGACTGACTCACCGAACCCCTGGGGTTCGATCGAACCCAGGTTAAGAACCACTGCCCTAAGGCCTAAATATGCATTTTAACATGTATGCAAAGGAATGATAAAAAAAAAAGGCTCCAGCAGCAAAATGGATTGACAGCTGTGTGCAGATAGCCAGTGCCCTTGCAGCTTCTTGTGCCTGTTCACACAGCCAACTATTGTGTGCAGTGATCATGGATATCTGAGCACAGAGATCAATCCAACCTGCTGGAATCACTAGATTTTTGCTGTGGGATTCGTAGCATGGCCAAAAACCCATGCGAATGGTGCCTTAAAGAGTAACTTCCACTTATCCTTCTCCCCCTCCTCTCTCCTCATCGTAAACTTTTTTTTTTAGAGAGCACGTACCTATTTTTGACAGGTGCCCACTCTTTTGTTTGTCTTGCATAGGCTGGTGTCTTTTCATTAAAGGTCAACAGCTACAGAATTTGTGGCTATAGTATTTGTAGCTGCAGACTTTTTTTATTTATTTATTCTAAGACCAAAGATCCTCTTTAGGAAAGTTTTTTTTTGTTAATTTATTTGGACTTGTGCATCACATAGTTACTGGATTTGAGATGTCATTTAATTTGGGAGTATGGGCACTCATACATGCTAACTGACCAAGATAATTAGGGAAAAGGAAATATCTTACATTCAGTCAGCAAAAAAACTCACAAGCCAAAAAAAAGTTAGATACCTTTTTTAAATTCTTCTATTTAGACACTGATTTACAATTTAAAAAATGTGCAAGCTTGCACTTAAAATGCTGTGTTCAATATAAATATATATATATATATATATATATATATATATACTGTATATATGTATATTGGGGTAAATACAAATATTTTCCCCACTGTATATATATACACACACACACAGTATATATATACTGTATATCGCTGACAACTGTGTCGTTTCCTACTCACCTTCCACCCAGAGGGATAAATATGTTAATATTTAATATACATTTCCAGCAGATGAGTAAATTCACCCTTTCCTAATGTAAACGTATATATGCTGTAATATCGTATAGGAGGAATTACTGAAGACTAGGTTCCCATCAGTGGTAAACTTGTGAAAAGCAGACACTGAAGAGACATATAATGTATTACACCCTCTGGGGAGAGATAAATTATGCACAGTGGATGCTCTGCACTCTGCAGCTAGCTATTTACACTGCTTTTCATAAAAAATGCATTGTTGCCAGAGTAACTGTTTTACCACTCAGAGATGTGTGCCGCTGTGGAAAGACAAGCGGCGATGCTCATCCAGGTAGCAAGTACAGTTGTGTCTTTCTATTATAATGCACTATACGTGAATATAAAATTGTAGCTACCAGGAAAAAAAAATTTAGTGGGATGCTTGTTTTAGAAAGTTGCCAATATGAATAAAGTAGGGCATTACAAATATTTTATATCACTTACTGTGTCCTTATCTGTACCATCAGCTGACTGTACTTTTTCATCCTTGAGAAGGGGGGGTTCTACTGTATCTATTAGGCTGTAAGATATCCCATGATAACATCCTGCACTGAGATGAAATAAATTATTGAATAGAAAATCCTTTTTGCACTTATAGGTCTTTACCCTTTTAACTCTTCCATGGAACTGACAAAACACATAATTTAAAAACATATTGTGATGCCACAAGAAGCTAAAGCCACTGAGCCATGATTCTTTGCAACTTGGGAAAACTAAATAGACATTTTAAAACCCCTTTTTTTCGGCCATCTTTTTTGACATATAGGATTTGATGTGACACAAGAAAGTATTTCAGGCTGGATAAAAGCTGTTTTATCAACTGGAAAATAGCTGTTGATATGTAGATGACACTGATAGCAGAATGAGGTGGACTACTACAAATTCAAGTTTAACAGCCCATTTCATATTTTCAATTTCCATATGAAATTTAATGATATTAATATATTATTGAATTTAATGATAGCTACTGTAGTCCTTTGATTTTTACTTTGATCTGGATTCAAGAAAATTGGATTAATTTTATTGTTACTTTTTGTCAGGGATCTAGAGTTAAGCAGGCCATGGACAGACCAAAATCCAGCCATTTCAGCAGGGACCGGCTGAGTTTCAAGCAGCTATTCCTAACAAGATGTAAAACTTTTCTTGATCAGTGGCAGTAGCAAAAAAAGGCTGCAGCTGCTAATCAGTGAATTCTGACATCAGTGTGAGCAGCCTTTAGGTCCCAGCAGGGGGGTTTCCTCTATCCACCTCATTTGTGTGGATGGATAAATCTGAAAGAAATAATTCAAAGTAATACCAAAGGGGCAGCATTTTCCCACAGAACCGCCACAGGGAAAATGAGTATCCAAGAGTTCTTTTACCACTGCAGTTGGTCTCTGGGTCTCTTGTGGCTCTTATGATCTCCCTTTAGCTCATAGCAGCCACCTCTATTTCTGTGTAGTTCCCCTGTATCTCCCTTTGAGGATGGGCTGTCTGTTCTTTGGTCCTTCTCCTGTTCTTCCTGCGGACTTTGGGAGAGTCTAATCCACTGTCTCTTTGTGTGCCTGATCTGATCTGGAGAGGTCTGGGGCCTACACATGTCAGAGGATAGAGAAACCTGCAGCATGGATGGCTTTCTCTCCAAAGCCAAGTACATTTGAAAGCAGCTCCTAAAAGGGCCGGTGGGCCAGGCTACACAAGTAACTGTATAATTCATTAGTTGTCAAAAGTTATAACCATTAAAATATCTTTGTAAGCCCAACTGTAGTTTAAGTAAAATCAAAACAATATTAGCCCAGCAGGAACAAAATTCTGGTTCTGTCTGTTGCAGAAGCTCTGCTCAGTGCACTGCTGTTGGTCCTCTTTGAATAGCACCTAGCATAATTCAAACCATTTTCTGTAAGCCCAGGGTGTCAAGAACATACCTTGACAACATCACAATGGCCTGGCTCAGAGTACAGTGCTGCAGAGAATGTATGACAGCATAACATGATCATATTTCTCTGCAGAATTAAGAACTATCCACAGCTGGGGTAGGGAAAGAAAGAACCCTGCTCATCACATGGCAAACCATGTGATGTTTTTAAATTCTAACTCAAACAAGCATCACATTATGCAGTAATGGTCCATGACTAGGATGCATGAGTTGAGTTTTCAGTGTTTGCTTTTGATTTACATGTAAACCTACATGCCTGTTCTCAGCTGTAATTTGAAGATGTGGTAAGGACAAGCATACAACATATCACAAACATAGGATTTCCAAGCACACTTACCAGTCAGCCTGCAAAACAACCAATTTGGCCCTGTCTTGCAGTTTGCATTAAAAACAGAGGGTTTTGTTTGCACACATTTGCAAATACATGCATAAGCCGCAAAGTCCCGTGTCAAGGGTCCTCTGTATACTGTGAACCCAACTCTAAACATTTCCAGAGCCTCTTTCCATCAGGTATTGTAAAGTGGAAGCACAAAATATGGATAGGTTAAGGGCAGGTGTGCCTGGAGGAGCCCATCCCTTTCTTAACCACTAGCCTACAGGGCACTTATACCCCCTTTCTGCCCAGGCCAATTTCCAGCTTTCAGCGCTGTCACACTTTGAATGACAATTGCGCGCAGTCATGCAACACTGTACACATATGAAATTTTTATCATTTTTTTTGAGACAGATAGAGCTTTCTTTTGGTGGTATTTAATCACCTCTGGGATATTTATTTTTTCTTAAACAAACCAAAAACCACTGAAAATTTTGAAAAAAAAAACTGAAGTTTTTTCTTAGTTTTTGTTATACAATTTTGTAAATAAGTGATTTTTCTCCTTCACTGATGTGCGCTAACAGGAAAAGAATCATTTGTGGTATCATTATCATATAATAAATGTTCATGTTATATGTTGTTGATGATATTACAATGTGCCTCTTTAATTGTATGTAAGCAAGATGACTGAATGATGAGCGCCAAAACACTCAATTTCAGTGGGGGTTGAATAATTTTGGCATGTACATGCATAAGCCGCAGTCCCGTGTCAAGGGTCCTCTGTATACTGTGAACCCAACTCTAACATTTCCAGAGCCTCCAAAGTGGAAGCACATATGCTGCAGTGATGGGCACTGATAGGCTGCACTGATGGACACTGATAGGTGGCACTGATGGGCACTGATGAGGAGGCACTGGTAGGTGGCACTGATGGGCATTGACAGGCATCACTGATGGGCACTGAAAGGCAGCACTGATACATGACACTGATATATGGCACTGATATATGGCACTGATAGGCAGCACTGACTGGCACTGATAGGCGGCACTGACTGGCACTGTTAAGCAGCACTGACTGGCACTGTTAGGCTGCACTGACTGGCACTGATAGGCAGCACTGATAGGTGGCACTGATTGGCATTGATAGGTGGCACTGTCTGGCACTGATGGGTGACATTGAAAGGCAGCTCAGATGGGCACTGATATGTGGCATTGATGTGCACTGGTATGCACTGATATGTGGCATTGATGTGGCACTGATGGGCAGTGGCATGTGGCACTGATGAGCACTGACTGCTGGTACTGATGGACACTGACAGGTGGCACTTCTGGGGCCACACTGATCATCAGGGCACACTGATCATCAGTGCCCTGATGATCAGTGTACATGTCCTCGGAAAGCCGATTACCAGCTCTCCTCTCCTCTCGAGCTGTCAGCGTGACAGCTCGAGAGGAAAGAAATGCCGATAACCGGCATTTCCGTGTTTACATGTGATCAGCTGTGATTGGCCACAGCTGATCACATGACCGAGCCGACATCTTCGGCTCTTTCCGTGATCCGCTGTGTCCGAGGGACACAGCGCACCGACAATCAGAATGAGAATGGAAGGACGTCATATGACTTCCTATCAGAATGAAAGAACCACCTTGCGCCCGTCATTGTATTATAGGGTGGGCAGAAGGTGGTTAAAGGTACAGGGATTTACCATTGTGACAGTAGCATTTTCATAGGCAGAGCACAGTAGGACTGGCCATAGAGGGATTACTTTGACGTAGTTGGCCAGCTTAAACATGTATTGCAATATGTGTGAACCACAAATCCCTATTTTATTATTGCAAACGTTTGCTTGAAAGGGTATATACCAGTGTGCAGAGGGTCCTTCAGAATTTCTAGTGTTAATATGTGGTTACACCCCTTTAGCACCTGATGGATAAATGCATATACTAGCTATTGGGATTTGAGCGCAGGTATATCTTGTGTCTGTCCTCACTCCAGAAAACACCTCTCCACTGCTCTAGAGTCTAGTGGCAGGGTGCTTTACACCATTGCATCCGATGCTTTGCATTGCACTTGGTGATGTAAGGCTTGGATGCTACTGCTCAGCCATGGAAACTCATTCTATGTAGCTCTCTAAGCACTGTTGTTATGCTAATTTGAAGGCCACAAGCAGTTTGGAGGTCTTTAGCTATTGCCTCTGCAAACAGTTGGCAACTACTGTGCACTTTGCGCTTCAGTATGCTCAGACCTTGCTCTGTCATTTACGTTGCCTACCACTTCATGGCTGAGTTGCTGTTGTTCCCAGTTGTTTCCACTTTGTAATATAATACTACTAACAGTTGACCGTGGAATATTTAGTAGCAGGGAAATTTCACAAATGGACTTATTGCACAGGTGGCAACCTATCACGGTACCACAATTGAATTCACTAAGCTTCTAAGAGCAACCCATTCTTTCACAAATGTTTGTAGAAGCAGTCTGCATGCCTAGGTGATTGATTTTATACACCTGTGGCCATGGAGGTGATTGGGACACCTGAATTCAATGATTTGGAGGGGTGTCTCAATACATTTGGCAATTTAGTGTAAATCCCTGAAAAAGGGCATGAAATTACCACAGGCAAAAGTATATATATGACAAAGTAATAAAGGTGTATCTTTCGGGGGCGTGTCGAAGATGTCGACTGGGACGGATGCCTAGCTAAAAAGCTCAGCTGATAAAGAGATATTATTATCCTGTTTAACTGCCTTGCTTCCCTCCTTTTACCCAGTGGACGCCTCCCTGGACTCCCCTGCAGATGATGACCAGGGGTCAGCAGCAATCAGAGCCCCAGCGGCATAGTACGGCGGTCACTGCCTCTGGCGGGCCGAGCGCCCACGTGGTGGTGGGAGTGGGCAATATGGCGTTCCAGATGGAGGACTCTGATCTAGCTCTCACTGAGCAAGCCAACTTTGCCAAGCTTATACAGGCTATAACATGATGCCAGAATGCCCTGACCACTAAGATTGACTCCCTACAGATAGATGTGGGCCTCTTGCAGAAAGACCTTGACAAGATCTGGGTCTGCATCACAGAAGCGGAGTGATGGATTGGCGACTCTGAACATGTTCTCAGAGATCACTTGGCCTGCCTGCATACCTTTCATACTAAAGTAAAGGCACTTGAATCTAGGGCAGAAGATGCTGAAAATTGCAACCGCCTCAATAATCTATGCATCTTGTAACTGCTGGAGGGAACAGAAGGTAATGACCCAGCAGCCTTTACAGAATGCCCGCTACACTCCCTGTTCCCACAGGCTGCTTTCTCCACCTTTTTTGTGGTGGAAAAGGCTCACAGGATGCCATCTAATAGAGTCCCTCCTGGGACCCTGCCTCGCATGTTCATTTCTTGTCTGCTGAATTTTAGGGACAGAGATCTGATACTTTGCGAGGCCTGCAAACTGGATGTCATCTGATTTGAGGCGTCTAAACTTATGATCTCTAGGACTTTTTGGTCGACACCCAAAAGCTTTGCAGTACTACTTCAATGTGGTGAAGCAGACGGGGGGCGAAATACAGCATGCTAGTTAAACACAGCAGTTGAACTAAAGCAGGAGAACTCAAGCAGCAGGAAGACACAACAACAGCAAGAAATTCTACTGCATGCTGGACAGACTGCAAGCATACACCCTGGGAAACATTTCTTACATGCCTGAGTCCCACTCCGTGTACCTTTAAAATATGTCCCCTCTTCTCCTTTTCATATTACTATCCTCTGTTCCCAAATCTCATTTCTTTACCCCTCTGCTCCACCCCAAAACTTGTACATCTCCCCCTCATTGCTATCATCTCCCTACTACTGCTCTCATCTCCTCCTGCTGACCCCAAACACCAGGACTGGAAGGCATGTGCACTCGTGTCACCCATGTTACTTTCTTCACCCTTCTTCTTCTCTTAACCTCTGGGGATATCTCCGCTCCTGTGGGGCCACCGCCCCCGTCAGTACCCTCGTCAGCCGCTCCCAAGGTCCTGCCATCGCCCAGGAGGAGTACTGGGCGCCCTGTCCCCTGCGGCCTACTGCTGCCTCTAAGCCTTGCTACTGCCCAACGCCCGAACCAGGACACCGCCGTCCGCACCAGTAAGAAGGGGAGCTACCACCACCGCCTCCCCTACCTACAGCTGCCACAGTGAGAGGAGAAGCAGCAACCACCCCCACCGGCACCAAGAGGGCAAACCACCACTACCAGATCTGCTTCCCTGCTCCCCACTGTGTATCACATAGCTGTGCCCCTGCCACCGCACAGTCCCGAGCCCTGTCCAATCCGGCGGAGGCGAGCCTGCCGTGCAGCCTCCTGCACCCACTAATGCCGGTCCCCTTAGCACCCTCAGTCGCTGGCCCGCAACATCAACATGCACTGGCCCACAACACCCACTGACGCCGGGCCCTTCTGCGCCTACCAACACCTAGCCCACTCCACCTCCAGAGTGGCCTTCAGCACCTCCACTCATACCAACCCCCGGCTCAACTTGACCTAAAGACTTGAACCCTTGTTGAAAGCCACCACAACGAGAGACTCCTCTGCACCCCAGACTTTCACCACTCAAGCGCCCCTGGAAACCGTCCATCCACACCTGATTCCCTCCCCCTTCTCTCCTAAACTCCAGCCACCAGAAGACATATCGACGATACACGAGATACGCCTCTGCCCGCTGGACTATCGACAACCAAGCCTCCCACCACTCCTATCCGCACTCCCGGGCACCTCCCCAAAATGCCTCTTCCACTCCTCCTTCTCATTTTCCTCTCCTCCGTTCCCAAAATCCATTCACTATATCCCTCTGCTCCTCCCAAACTATTGTATATTGTGTCCTCACTGCTTCCTTCATCCCTCTACGGCACCCACCACCTCCTCCTATTACTCCACTCTCCCACTGACCCGAACACCTCCACTAGTAGTTTCTCACGCTCCTGTACATCCCGCTCCCATGCCACCTTTCTCACCCTTCTCCTCCTCCTAACCGCGGGGGACATCTCCCCAAATCCTGGCCCTCCACCACCTCCCTCACCCACACAACACCCTCCTGCTTTCACGTCCTTCTGCAACCCCCGCAACTTAGTATCTGTCCCCCTGCTCCCTAAAATCTCCCCCCCCCGTTTTCATGTGCACTCCTGAACGCCCGATCGTTGTGCAACAAGCTTACCGCCATCCACGACCTCTTTGTTTCCCACTCCCTCAACCTCCTAGCAATTACGGAAACCTGGATCCAGGCCACTGACTCTACCTCCCCTGCTGCACTCTCCTACAGAGGTCTCACCTGGACCCACTAACCCAGGCCCAACGGTTGTAAAGGTGGTGGGATTGATCTGCTCCTGTCACCGCATATCACCTTCCGAGTCCTCCCAAACCCCCCCTCCCTATCCTTCTCCTCCTTCGAGGCCCACTGCGTCCGACTATTCTCCCCAACCCCCCTGAAGATTTCTGTGATATACCAGCCTCCTGGATCCATATCCCGCTTCCTGGATGACTTTTCCTCCTGGCTACCCTTCTTCCTCTCCTCTGAGCTACCCACCATCATCCTTGGGGATTTCAACATCCCTGTCAACCTCGACAACCCGGCCACATCCCATCTCCTCCACTTAACCTCCTCCTTTGCACTTGCACAGTGCATACAATCCACCACCCACTCCGATGGTAATATCCTTGATCTTGTCTTCTCCATCCGCTGCGCTCCCCACAACCTCACTAACACCCCTTCCCTCTCTCTGACCACAACCTGATTACCTTCTCTATCTCCTTGTCCTCCAACGCCTACCCCTCCAAATGTCACACAACTACCAGCCGTAACCTCCGCAACCTTAACCCTGCCCCCCTCCACTCTGCAGCTGATCAACTCCACGACAGCATCCTCCCCCTGTCCTGCCCCGACTTGGCTATGACTGCCTACAACAACGCGCTGTCAACAGCTCTTGACTCACTAGCGCCTTTAAACACACGCAACATCAGACCCGACCGCTCCAGCCCTGGCAGACTGATCACACCAAAACCTTCAAATGACACAGTCGTGCCCTGGAGCGACTATGGCGCAAAACCAAATCCCAACAAGCCTTCACCCGCTACAAATCTGCCTTCCACACTACACCTCCTCCCTCCATGCAGCCAGACAAGCCTACTTCCTGACCCTCATCAAGGCCCTCTCCTCCAATCCTCGCTGACTCTTCTCCACCTTCAACTCTCTACTCTCGCCACCCCCCCCTCCTCCACCCAGCACCTCACTCACTGCCCTTGAGATTGCCAATCACTTCAAAAACAAGATTGACACAATTCGCAAGGACATCGCCGCAACTCACACTCCCTCTCAACCTGTCCCCTCTCACACAGCTACCCCCTCATCCCCCCTCTCCCTCGATATAACCCGCAGGGACTTCGTCGCTGCTCAAACTCTCTCCAACCCCGTTCCCCCTCATTCAGCTACCCCCTCATCACCCCTCTCCCACGGCCCCACCACTGCTCTGACCTCTACTTCCACCCCACC